GTTCTCTAGGAGCTGTGGGCCAGAGAGGTGCTTGAAGAGGTGGCCCTGTAATGAAAGCTCTGCTGCACACCACACCAGGAAGGTGATGGCCTGTTGTTCAGGTGTTGCTTACTGGGCAGGATTAACTGTGCAGAGTAATACAAGTCTCGGGTCTTCTGCAGTCAGTGTAGGATGCTGAGAGCGGAGAGGTAGAGCAGAATATTCCTGTTTTCAGGCCAAAGCTTGGACACAGGGTTCCCATAGTGCTTTCTGGCACGCTGAGAGTTGGAATATTCTGATGGCTTGATGCAAAACACATAAGGAACATCTAGGCCAGGTTCTGATTCAGTGCCAGAAAATGGGGGGTGTGAGGTGGGAAGCTCCACTGACCCGATTTCTGCCATTGCATTCTGCTTCTGTCCAGCAAAGGGGTGCTTCAACCAGCAGCATTCAGGGCACATTTACTGCAGCTGAGGGAATGCTCTGACTTACAGGAAGAGGAAACTTGGACAAAAAAATGGATAAAAATGGAGAATTTTTAAATGGCTGACAAGTATAAATGCAAATGAAAGGATGTTAAAAACTAACCTTGGAAGAGAGGGAATAAGAGCAGTAACTGTGCAATCTTTAATCACCAAAGGAGGAAAATAATCAGTAGAAGTCAGAAATGACAAAGTACAAAAATGAAGCCAGTGGGAACAAAGCCTGTAAGTGACAAGGCTAGAAACATAAGCCGCTTTTTTTAGAATGCCTTTTGTTTTGGGTATAATTGAACATGGCACATGTCCATTACCAACTGCAGACAGCAGAATTGTTTCTAATGAGAGGAGGGGGAAGTGTTCTGTAAATATTTATTCTGTGTTGGTGCTGGTGTCCTGTGAGGATGAGGTACTTCCTAGGCAAACAGTAAGGAGGATTTTAAATAGTGTCTATTGGGGCAAAGGCTTTTTTGATCAGCAGTTTTCAGTAAATGGTGTTTGTCAGCCTGTGAAAGCCACCCGAAGGCATCCATGGTCTGCTCTCTGTCAGGCTCTGGCCTGCCAGGGAAAGCCTACAAGGCTGGAAAAGAGCCAACTCCGTGCTGGTCCTTAACAATGTCAAGAAGGCTGCCATCGCAGTCCAGATGTGAAACACTGAAACAGCAGAGAAGTAAATTGCTTCTCTCTAAAACAAGCAGGAAATCCAGGTCAACAACAAAATAAAATTGGGTTGAGTAGAAGTACCAAAAAAAGGTCAGTCAAAAACTACTTGATTTATTTTTACTTTTAAGATCACTGTAAATGGTTACCTGTATCACTGTAGTGGTATGAGATCTGAAGAAGTTTACTTCTAGACTCAAAGTGCTTAAAAAGGGGATACACTAAGTTAAAGTAATCATGAAGTCCTTTAAAGAACTGGCTAGCTTGCAGATTTCTGGAACAGCTGTCAGTGCAACATAAACACTTTCTAAAATGGAGCTGGAGAAATTGCCCTTTAGAGCGATTGGAAATAGCCTAGTTGATGAGTAAAGTCAAGTTTGGATTTCGGGAAGCTGGAGCCATACAAGAAGACAAGAGGGAGACTTTTGCCAGCCTCTTTAAGCCCATTTATTAATAATAATTGGCTGTGCACTCAGGTGACTGGTTTATCTTGTCCAGCTGTGGTTGCCCCAGCTGTGGGCATCATTCCTAGGAAGCTGGGCAAGTGTGGCTGGTGCGGCTGTTCAGCAAAGTATTCCCCTTTCCAGCGAGCAGATGCGCTCAGCAAGCTCCGTTCCCTGGGCTCTGCCACCGCCGTGTATGTTGAGTGATGTGCACCATCTGTCGCCTTCCACCATTGGGACCACCTTCTTGTTCCAAACAGTAAGTGATTAAAGTAGCCCCCTAGCTCAGCAACATTCAGCCTGTCATTAAATGCTCTTAAGGTATTATTTACCTAACTCTACACTCAGAGCCATGTGGTAGCCAGTCTCTTACTGTTTATTAAACAGGTTGAGTAAGGCTTCTGTGCTTAAGCAGACAATTTGAGGCTCAATTATAGATTGTGTTTCAGTGATGCTCATTTGATTTTGGTGGATCAATTCTTGTGAGGCAATTTCTGCATATAAATACATACATCTTGGAATTGGAAGGTACCCCTGGAGGTCAGCTGGTTCAGCTTCGCCTTCAAAGTAGAGCTGCTGTCAGTCCTAAATCAGGTCAGACATATGCTGAGTAGCAACACACTGTGTGGCAGAGCAAGCTAGGGTAAGAAGCAGCTCCAGATGAATGGTGATGTTGCTTAAGGTTCTATTCAGGAACTGGCCAAATCAGTCCGAAGATCTCCAGATCCAGCAGAGAAGAAAACCGTTCCTAAGACGTAACTTGCTTATACTGGCTGAAAATAAGGCCAGGTCCTCCCTGGATGTTTCTCATTGCAGATATGCAGATATACATGGCTGAGAAGTGGTAGTTACAGGTGATAGCAGGATTGCTCCTCTCACACATCTACAGAGAAATGGGTGGCACTTCCTCCAAGTCCCAGGAAGGAGGATATGGAGCGTGTCTAATCGTTCACTTAACTAAGCAAAGTTTCAGCTAAAGCACAGCAGGACACTGAGGTGTCTGGGCCCAGACCATGAGACAACCACAGTGAACAGTCTTTGGCAAGCTCGCAACAGGAACATTAATGTTTCCGATCTCCTGGAGCAGGGCAAGGCACAGTTGCTGTGAACCAAGCACTCATCAGTAGATCGTTTAACCTAGTGTGAATATCCGAACTCCAGAGCAAGCTTAGATTAAGGGCCTTGCATGAAGCAGACCTGGCTGGTTTGACAGCTCCTGAGCCGTTGTCCTTTGTACAATCAACTACAGCTCTACTTTTTGTCTGCCGTGTGAACCAGGAGGATAAACTGGAGATGTCAGCAAGCTGAGTGGCAATATCTGGGGAGCATGCAATCCCTGGCTGCTCTAAAGCATCAGCAAAAGGCAAGGCAGACTGCAGCATTACAACAGTTAAGGACTAATAGAAGGAAACAAAATGTCCTATCTTTCTTTCCAAAGACAACTGATCAGTGGAGCTCGTAGTTAAAGTACCAGAAGAAGTATAGCTGGTTTTATCAAATAAAATGCATTTCATTTATAAAAATAGTCAAACATCTTCATTTCTGCTAACTTACATTTCTTCTTCTGAACACATGAAAGAAATCGAAGAGTTAATTTAAAAAATACGTTTTTGCCCAAGTCTTGAGGACGGGCAAACTCATGACAAACACTGAGCTCCTAAAGCCTTGTGTGAAAAAATGTTCAGCAAGTTGCCCACTTCGGTCTGGTTTTGCAGATGTACAATTTAATTTCAGTGCTTTGGGTTGCTGCCATTGAAGTAATAACTCACTCCAAAGCAGGCTGGGAGGAGAAAAGGCTGGAATTATTTTTTACACATTGGCAACAAGCAAGAAAAGAAAGTTTGACACCATGAGATCTCCTCACTCCAAAACCCTGAAGAATCCAGTCACTGGAAGAATCCATTCAGTTACCATGGAAAGATTTAGGTGGGAAGAGACCTCTCTGGAGGTCTGTAGTCCAAGCCCCTGCTTGCACAAGGGATATAACCTTGTGCTTAGATCAGGTTGTTCTTGCACTAAACAAGAGTCCTTAAAAAGACCAGAGCAGTTCATTCGAGTATGCTTTTATGAATCCACTCCATTATAGGCTGTATTACTAATTCAAGAAACCATTTT